TAATGTAATGTAATGTAATGTAATGTAATGTAATGTAATGTAATGTATGTATGTATGTATGTATGTATGTATGTATGTATGTATGTATGTATGTATGTATGTATGTATATAGTTATATAGATACACGATATACATAAGCAGAGTCTTCAGGCACGGCAGCAGATGCGAACTACATGAACATGAACTGTGCCAGTCCTTGCAAGAGATGTCAGGGTCTGGCCACAAAAGGTGTAGCATGACAAGACGGTTCACGCCATATATTTTGATGCCAGGACTGTTCGAAACTGGAGACTCTTTGCAAAAAGTTTGACCATTCATTATTTGCCTTTGGATCATCATCAAAGAAGAGGCGCAGCTGGAACGAATGTATGAAATTGACGAGCAAATCATCACTGTGCTGTTGGACCTGATATTTGTGTGTATATATACACTCAGTTAGTAGACCCGGGTGAATCTACGGCTGTGTGCACAAGTTGGGAGAATGGCACCGAAATTGAACCATGTAATACATGTCTTGCATGTACAGTTGTCACTGCAGTTGAACCGCTAGGCCTAAGCAGGAAAAGAGGGAACGGCCCAGCGCATTGTCCATGAGAGTGATCCAACATGTTTGTCGGTCCATGTCACCAGAAACAACATAGGACAGGAGAGGTCTATCTTTATTCTCATTATGACCCCTTTTCCACTGCGCAGGAAATCACTGTTTTCTTGCACCTTGCGAGGCCATCCAGACTAATCTTGGGGCGCCTCTTTGATGGTAGTTTGCTGGACATGCAGGCCTGTTTGGCATGGGCTTTTGCGCTTGGAAGAAACCCATTCAGCCCATTCATCTTTTTCTCGACAAGCTGCGTCTTGTCTAGGAGTTTAACGTTGAGGACTACAAGTCTATGCAGCGCCTTGCCTTGGTTTTGCATTTCATGTTATTTCATTGGGATGGCAATTGACCCATCTGGAGGCTGAGGAGTATTAGCAGAGCAGAGCGCCAGTCATACAGTTTCCACTAATACTTAGTTCGGTCAGTTCGGTGGCTGTTCCTGCTCCATCAATCAAGCACGATAAACAATGCCCAATTGTTGTTTTTAATTTGCATCTCTGAATTTGGAAAACTAGAAATCATGAGATTTGCCTTTGTGTTCTTTTTTTTGACCGGTGTGAGATTTGCAGTGTATGTTTCGCCTGTTGTTCGATGTTGTCCTTGCAATAGGCGAGCTTAAACCAAAAAAACAGAAAACAAATGTCATATGACATATGAGTTAGGTTTGGCGTTTTGGGCCGGTGAGGACCCTCTCTGTAAAAGTATAGGTAAAGTTTGCATTCCATGGAAAACATCAAAAGCATGGGCTTTTCCAGAAAGCAGGAATGGTCTGTTTTTGGATGCTTTCTGCGATTACGAAAACCGATCGGTTTCCGATATCACAAATCACGCTAAAACGTGTGCTTTTCACCAAAACAGCTAAAAAACACCCAAAACAAATGGGTTGTATGCTAGAGCTCGGAAAGCCTGTTTCACCTCAAGAAGTGCACCGGCCAGGCAGCAAAGGAGTGCAACGGCAATGTGAGAGAAGTTAAAAGCTTTGGGGTAGTTGTATTGTATTGTTGTATGCCTTAGCAATAGTCAAAGAGTGCACCAGAGAAAGTTCAGAATACCACTGGCACTGTGAGAGAGTCGTGACGCCAGTGTTGCCATGGCTGGAGAAGATCCGTTGGACTGGGTGGCTCCCAACAGGCCAATTCTGCGTAGCCACTAGACTGCTACTAGAAGTCAGAAAAGGGGTGGCGTTTAGTGTCTAAGTGTGGATCCTGCAATAGGCAGCCCTTTGGAACTGCTGATCCAATTTTTCTTTTGCCCAGAAAGTGAATGAAAACTTAACCTTTTCGTTTTCATGGCCGGCGGCCAGTCCGACCGATCCTTCACCCAAACAACTCTACGTCGGTCCGTCTCCGTGGTCGAAGGACAGCAGTCTTGCTCTTCTGGCATAGTTTTGGCTAGAGCGTGCAAAAGAGCTCGGCATTTGAGCAGACCAACCGCTCGAAGCAGTTCGACAGCCTCGTCATCTTCCAGAGCGATCGATGACCAGCTTCAGGTGGCCAGTGCATGGCTACCAGGACGGGTGGCTGCGGCCCATGTTTCAAAAATAGCTTCGCACCTTATCGGTGCGGTTGCTGGTTTGGCAAAGAGCTGTGGGATGATGTCGGATGCTGCAGCGAGCCTGACTGCCCAATTGGGAGCAGCCCGATGATCCCGATGTGTTTTTTCAATTTTGATGATTTCAGTTTGCATTGGGCCAGCATAGGCCACCTTTTCCAAAACTTGAAAAGAGAAACCCCATAAGCTAATAGCTCTCGCTATCTGGGAAAAGTGAAATGTTGAGTGTTTGTTGGCTGTGAGGTGCGAGGATCAAATTCGGGTTTACGGTTTACGGTCAGCCCAGGACAACTTCGACCACAGATTTCTACGCGGCAGCAAATTTAACGTGGCGACAATTTGTTTGACAAAACAAAAAGAATGGTTTGACTACCGGGACTCTTGGCTAGGATACCGCCGGTTTGAATACGGGTTCGTGACGGGACATTCGACTTTGAGTTTGAGGTCGACAATGTGTCGGCAATCTCGCAAGAATTGCTGGACATGCCGGAAAACTACATGACAGTTTGCATGTGGATGTGGGATGAAACAGACAACCCGGCTGGCTTACTTTCTTTTGTGAGAAATCATTTGCGATTTTTGATGTATCAGATTTGATTGAAGCAACTTACTCATGACTCATGACTCAAACTGAGACTAACTGACTGCCCGACTGACTAGTGACTATTGTTATTCCAGCTGCCTTTGCCAGGAGCAGTTGGCTTCGATCACAAGCTCGGAAGTTGGTGGCTCAACGCTAGCACTCCTGCTGGATGGATTGCCATTCACAAGGGCATTCAGGTCTGCGAAGCTTACCATGAAACCAACAGTGCAGGTGTCATCCAACCTTCCTGATCATTTTTGCCAGTCTTGATCATGCCAGTCCAGTCCAGTCCAATGAGGAAAGCACATGGAGGCCGCCAGTCCAACGTGGTGATGCAGGGGCCTTATTCCAGATGCAGAGGCAAAGGCAACAATTAAATGGCAATGGGCAATGGAAATGACTTTTTTGGGGGGTAGGTCAACGATGGTACAACACGGAGAATTGGCCGTTCTGTCCTCAGTCTTGGCTGTTTGCAAATTAGTGCAGGCCGTTCTTTATTGCAATGTCTTTTTGTTTGGAAGCCCTTGCACGCTACGAGCCAGAGAATGTTCCAAGTTTTGACGGGGGGGCCTTGCCCGCTAGGCTGTGGATTTGGGGTGCTCTGGCCATGAAGCTCCCTTGATCTTCAAGGAGAATCTGCGCTGCGTGTTCAACCGTTCAACCGATTTGTCTCAGGGGCTGTAGTTGAGCAGGAAGTTGTGGTGGTTCCACCTCTCCACTTGCTACGCATGACTGCGTCAGCAATCAAATCTGGCATCGATCATTGGATGCCACTCCCGGTTGGACGGAGGCAAACCGCGAATCCTCGATTTGCAGAGTATGCCGAGAGTGTTTGTATACAGCGCCATAGGGTCTATGAGTCATAGGGCCAATAGAGTATTTTTTCATGACTGAATGACTGTCATGCGTTTTGCCTTTCCGTGAGCTGTGCCATTTCATCAAGGGTGTGGTGCAGGTGTCCACTTGCAGACGGTGCTGCCTTCAATTTGACAGTGTTGGTGGCCGACGGCGCTTCTTCGAACGGTTTGCTCAAGAGGTCAGAAGTTGCAACACAGTAGCGCAAATAATCACCCAAACAATTGCTGCGAGACTGCGAGACCAAAAGAACTGAACCTAACCTAACTGACTTCACTGACTAAACTTTTCCTTTGCATGTCTCTTGGACCAAGGTAATGGCCCATGAATCAAGCACTGAAAAGACAACAAACCTAGTCTGGAGCTTGGTCCGTCAGTCTGAACACCCTGAACTTGGTCTTCAAAGAAGTTAATTTCATAATTTGTAAGCTTTTTGTGTGCAGCCAAAGCCTAAGCCGATGCCCCATAGGTCTTGGAATGCGTTTGCCAATGCCATTGTGTTCACTTATGCAACGCAGACCAAGTCTTTCGAGTGGACCGAGTTTGGCTTGATGATTTGATTTTGATGTTTGTTTTCTTTGCAGTGGGCTCTGCAGAGCTCAACTTTGAGAGGATTTGCCATTGGAGTGGCCTGCAGAACCTGAGGACAAGGATGGGCCAGCGCCCGGGGGTAACAAAGGAAAAGGAAGGGGTGGTAAAGGGAAAGGAAAGGGGAAGGCCGGGAAGGCTAAAGCTCAGCCGGCAGACACAGATGCACCCAATGCCCGGCGACAGCCACCGAAGAAGCAAACCAACCAAAATGTCCTCACCAACCTCGTTCGATGTGGCAACCAAATGGGGAATTCTTCCTCCTGGTCTATACTCAAAAAAACGCTCTTCGAGTTGGTTTTGAGTACCTTGACTGTGGCCGATTACGCCGATGCCGATTCCATTCAATATTTCTATCATCTATTTAATTATATTTTTTTTGTAGAAGCTGGAGGTTGATTCGCTCGGCCAGTCAGTTGATTGGCTTGCGATAGCCATAGTCCATAGTCATTTTCACTAGGGTTGCACACGCTTTGTGTGCTGAGGAAACCTTTGTGTGCGACCAGTCTCGGACATTTGTGAGCAGACCGGGCAGCAGCGCCGCAGCGACAACATCGATACACTCACGCTTTTGGGGAAGTGGCAAACCCCCGAACAGCTGCAAGCGTTGCGCGCAGCTGGTCGTAAGAAACCAGCCTTGATGGAAACAGCAGAGGAGCTCATGATGCGCCTAAGTTGCAATGCAATTTTACCATTTACAGTGTCAGTCTGGGCCAACTGGGTGTTTGGGTTTTGTTAACTTTGCCCAAGGCTTGTGGGTTGGTCAGATTGGTCGGGGCCTTCTAATACGGTGTACCTTAATGTGGACGAGCCCAAATGCAGCAGCCCACAACTCTTGCGTTCTTTGGCAACTCACCTGACCACCCTTTGTGAGCACCTCTTTTTCTCCAGCAAACCACCACGGCCAACGCAGTCTCGCTGGACTGGAGTTCCCTCAGTGAGCCGGTGGTGCCTAGCTTTGTCATTGTTCCACCAAATGCTTGGACCATTGCTCTCATCCCTGGCCACCTCCGGAGGAAAGGACCCAGGCCCAGGCTTCGGAGCAAGTGAGGGGGGCAGTCCTTGACAATGATGCCGGAAACTCAAGAACTACGATTTTGTGTTTGTCACTGTCACACTTGTGGGAAAGTGTTTTTGTGTGTCTTCTTACGCTGCTGTGGTAGCAAACTTTTAATATCATTAGTCACCCAGCCTAGCTTGTTGATAAGTGAGGTCCAAGTGTCAGACTCCGATGCATTCAGAGCGCAACAAACAACTCGACGGAAGCTACTTGCCACATGGCCTTTGCCTTGGCTGGCTCCCTTTTGCCCAGTGTTCAGGGGATCCGCAGTACTCAGGTCTAAAGAGCCCTACACACCTGTGAAGCTTTTTCTCACGCTGGTGGTCAATGAGCCTGTGAGAAGATTGCTGTTCTACATTCTTAAGTTTGAGCCATGGGCTTGGCGCGCTGCGCTACTAACAGTGTTCATTCATGTCCGTCCACCACCGGCTTAAGGTCCAATGACCTTTTCCTGGATGAGGAGAAGCGTCAAGCCTTTAGGCAACTGTGTGAGCAGTACTTGTTCAACCTTGAGAGTCATCAACCCAGTTTCAGAGGGTTGGTTCAATTTGATTCGATTTGAATTTGATTCAATTTGGCAACTGTCTAGCTTTTTTGACCGACCATGGTGTGTTCTCAAGCTTTGCTTCTTTCTGCGTTGCGTCTCAGGCATAGAACCTGATGAGGATGAGATGGTTGATGCCGCCCAAGGATTTCCAGCCTGGCCAATTCCCCAGTCCAATTGTGATTGGCTTGGCCTTCGCCTTTCTCTTCCAGGTTGCCCAAGGCCCAGGTTTGCCAAGGTTGCTTTTCTTGAGCAGGTGCTCCGGCGGTCTTACTCAGAAGAGCTTGGATGACCTTGCCGAATTCTTGTGCAAGAACGATCTCTATTTGAAGCTTGCGCGCATGTATGGGGCCCCAGTTCTTTACTCCATCTGGATCTCAAGTCACGTTTGTCAGTTGTTGTTTTCCTTTGGGGGGTGAGGTTTGGACCTGATAGCCATCATTCACTTCCTCTCCCACAGCTCTTGAGACTGACGAGGCGGTTCGTGTTAGCAGGCTTTGGCCTTAGCATTGCTCCCTCAGAAACTGCAACCGACCAAACAAACTAGTGAAGTAATCAACGGTGATGGTTGATTGCGGACTATCCGGCAAGGTGCAGCCGGCATTTGGTACAGGCAGGCTCCATGACAGTAGGCTGCAGACTTCATACCCTTCAATTAAATTCAGCAACGCAGCGCAGTTCAACTCAAAAAATATCATTGGTTGTTTCGTCAGTGACCCAAAGAACTGTAGCGTGACTCAGCATGACAGAAACAATTTGTTGGGAAGGTTGCACCATCCGCTCAGCGAACCACCATTTGCCTACTTGGGCTTGAGCGATCCAAGAACAAGTGAAAGTGATCGTTGGCTGCTCAGAATGTGTATTCGTGCTTAGCAAGGGATGTGGTTGGAACATGGCAATGGACCAGGGACCAGGGACCAATGGAGTAGCTGTTTTTGTTTGTCAGGCCAAGCGTGCTGGGAGAAATTCCAAGCGACAAAGCCGTGCTGCCAAGACCCTGGGTTCAGCCGCCCTTTGCAAAAGGTTGGGGCCTGGGACGTGACTGTCTATTGTTTTGTTATTCCACCAGGTCACGAGGGTGAATCATGTTGGTTTCAGTCCAAGTTCAGTCTTGTTTTGTGAAGCTTGGAGGCCTTGGACAGAGTCGAGCGGCCCAAAGCTCAAGATCTTTTCCGGAAGGTTGTTGTGTCCTCCGGCCGCCATGCCCGGCTTGGCATATTTCAAATGGAGTGTGCCCACCGTTTCAACCAGACCCTTACGCTTGCAAGCAAACATCTTGGTAGAGGGAAGGTGTTTGGCCTCATAGCATCAGATGCAGTTTTGCACTCCGTGTATCAGCAGCACAAGCGTCTCTTGAACAAGTGCTTTGCTTAGCTTTGAAGGCTTGCGCAAGTCTCACTGAAGGCTTTTCACGGTTGGTGTCCATTCAGTGTTCCCAGGGCTTGGATTCCTTTCGAACCTAGGCGCCGTCGACACCTTGCAGCTGACTCTGGTGGCAGCGTGAAGTCCTCCAACAAGAAAGACCGGCGTAGAGTGAAGAAAGACATGGGTCTCTTCAAGAGGGCAGGCAAGAAGAGATGACTTTTTCATTGTTCTGTTTCTTTTTAGAATATATGATATATGTATTACACGTCGTTGTTGACATTAGGCGGAATGGCAGGGGATTACATACAGTGTGACTCGATATGCCGATGCCTCCAGGCCACACTGCCAGTGGAAGCGGGCAGAATGACAGCCAATCATCTTCGACCGTAGATGATACTTTGAGTAGCAGTAGCGCACGATGCGGCAAGAAGACGAGCTTACACCTTGTTCATTCAGAACTGTGGGCTCAATTCAAGCAAGTGTGTCCAGATCGTGGGAGACTAAGTCGAAACAAAGTTGCTTTGAGACCTTTTGACACTGCCGCAGCATAAGCCACCCGAGATATTGACTTTCGCCGCAGCTCTGAACCAGGCTTGGAGATTGCCAAGGGCATGTCTTCGAAAATGTTCAAGGAATTTGCCAGCTCCCAAATGGAGGCTGTGACTGTGTGTTCCTGCTCAGTTGTCCTCTTGATCTTGATTGAAACAGATTCGTCATTCAATTCAATCACCGAACCAGTCATGTTTTTGTGATAGTAGTGGAGAGGGCAAACGACAAGCTTTTGGGGGCCCATTGCCTTCCTGGCCATTGCGCAGGGATTGCCGAATACGATGAAGAGCCTACAAATGACAGCGAAAGCTGAGAACTCACTTGTGAAGCATGCCCGGTTGGAGAACCTGAAGCAGGCGGAGACATCTTGCAACATGCTAACTGCCACCGCGGTATTGTGATGGTAGTGACCAGTAGTGGTTAGTTGGGACCCTCGGGTTCAGGAGAATTTTGGTGGGCCAGAAGAACAAGGTGATATGTGGCAAACTCAGACAGTCTCAGATGGGCGTGCAAATTTCAGCCTTTGTTTCTTAACTGCGCTGTAGGAAAGGACTTTGGGATTGTCCGTGCAATTCACAATATCCTATCTCTGCCGACGTCATCAGTCAGATGAGGCCGGGCCAAGCCACCTTCCTTTATTTATTTGTATTTGCCCTGCAGTGGCAGTGGTTCAAAGTCTTTCGGTTCAGATAGGGTTCTCCGACTCTCCCTTGTTGTCATTGTATGGGCCCATGGCCCATGTGTGCTCTGCATACTGTATACTTTGTGTCGTCAGGAAGACAGGCTTCAATCGAACCACAGCGCCCGCCGAATTCCAACAGTTTATTGCAGCAAAAGATCATTCTGCTGAGTTGCAGAAGGAGCTCAAGTCACGCGCTGAGAGGTATCAGCCTGCTTGCTTGAAGAGGGGAATGTGTGCTTTGCATCCTTGTGCAAACCGGCATGCTCCCTTGCATACTCACATCTTCAGGGCCATCAGAGCGAGTCTGGCCAAAGCATTTGGAGAAAAAACATCCAAGGATGTCCTTCTGTCAGGCGATGTGATCCTTCAGCTTTGTTGGAAGGACAAACTGCCAGATTCAGAACAAGACCGACGTGCAACAGCCTCCGGCTCCACCAGTTCTTCTTCTGGCGTTGCTTCCCCCCGAAGAACCAGTCCATGTGAAATATTTCATTGTGGTGTCATAGCTTGACTTGACTGGTTGTTGTCCAATAGTTATGTGACCCCATAAGTATATGATATATATATATATATTGATATGGGCGATATGGGCCCAGCTGAGGCAAAAACTGTTCTTCGGCCACAGTTCGCAGTCTTGCTGGAAATTTTCCCGCATGAAAGCGTTGAGACTCACAACTGCATAAAGCTTGTAACTGCACCGTCAGTGCTTCGGTCACATAGACTTGTCATGATTTTTCAGCAACGACAGGACAACAAATACCGTATACCATATTTTTGGATCCATTCTGCTTTGGTAAACCCCTTGCAAGGAATACGCTTCAGATTACTTCGCCATTCCGCTTTCAGACATCCCTGGAACTTGCAGCAGACCTACTTCAATCCTCCGAAAACGGGCCATCGGGTGTGTGGTTGAAGGTGTTGGCGAGCCATGCGCCCACTTCTTCACAGTAACTTGTTTTGGAAAATCAATTGGGAAGCTGAATGTAATGGAACCAAACTGAACCGCTGTCGTGTGGATAGTCAAAGCTACCTTCTCCAGGTGCCTGGATATGTTGGCCATGGATGGTGTTGACCTGCTTGTGAGTAGCCGGATGTGCGACATTGATTCGGCAGTGTGTCTTTGGCTTGCCTGTGAATTTTGGTAGTGGCCTTGGGCCTTGGGGCCTTGCTGAATTTGTGAGTTGTGAATTGCCATCCTATAATGATCGTGCGCTGACGATATCGTGATTGCTTGCCCGTTGGTGGTGTGAACTTTGAAGGGTTTCAATCTAGGTGGCCATTGGAACGTGTGGCGGACGAAGCTGACGGCAAATACACTGACATTTCCGACCCCTTGGATGTTATCAATCAAGAGTGCGGTGAAGAGGCTGAAGTGCCCGACCATTTCGAGGCTTGTGTTGTGTGATTCTTTTATTTCATCCTCCACTCACCCACTCTTTCTCAATCTTGTACACTCCTGAGTCGAGCTTTGCTTGTGCAAGGAAGATGAGTGGATGGCTGCGAAGCGCATGGACCTTGAAGCAGAATTTGATTTGGAGACTCTGTATGGATTGAGTGAGGAGGACAAGGGTGGGGACCGGGAGGCTCATTCGTGGTAAAGCAACAAGTGGAAGGAGAAGTGAAAAGACAAGGCAATGCAATTGTAAGAGGCACCGTTAGATGTGGAAAAATTTCATATTTTCTTCACTGGGACCCAGCAGCTGTGCTAGCTGCCTGTGAGCTCCACAGTGACTGCTACGCTACCTGGCCTCTTGCTACCAGCCCAGATGACGATCGGCTTGTCAAGTGGCTTGGAGAAGCGCCAGCTTACCAGAATGGTAAAGATCATATGCGATCCCTGCCTCCTGGTTGGTACCAACATCGCCCAAGGCGATAATCACCTTGAGCAGCCGACTGAAATTAGATTTGGTCAATGTCACCTCTTGTAGGATTGATGGGTGGCGTGACCTGGGGTTTGGGGCCTGGGCCAGGCGGCCTGGGAATGACATGCTGAGATGACGTGGGATTGAAAGTTGCAACTGAACTTCCACCACTGCTGTACAAGTTGTGCGTGTCATGTGATCAGTGGCTTGGCTCGACTACATTGGAGCGACAGGATACATGATTTCATTGGATCAATCATATCATAACTTTGTCATGTCCTGTCTTTCTACTATCTGCAGCCATTTCTTTGGGGGTGGGCAGCCGACGCTTGCGAGTGGCGGCTTGGAGCTTGGTCACACGATGGATGGTTAGCAAGCACACTACAACCAAAAGTCTAGTCGAGTCTAGTCTAAATGAACTCCTGCTGTGCA